GGGGTGGGGGGAGCTGGGAGGAGTGGGTCTGAGGGGAGCTGTGGGTCTGAGGGGAGCTGTGACTGGATCTGAGGGAAGCTGTGGGGTGTGGGTCTGAGGGGAGCTGTTGGTCTGAGGGGAGCTGTGGGATGTGGGTCCGGGGGGAAGCTGTGGGGTGTGGGTCTGAGGGGAGCTGTGGGGTGTGGGACGAGGGGAGCTGTGGGGTGTGGGACTGAGGGAAGCTGTGGGGAGTGGGTCTGAGGGGAGCTGTGGGGTGTGGGTTTAAGGGGAGCTGTGGGAGGCCATGGGGAGGAGGGCTGAGGGGACTGGCTAGTGGTAGCAGGAGGGCCGTGACAGGACTCAGGGGAGCCCAGCCTTCATGGGAAGCTTGTTAGCACCCAGGCTGGGATGCGGGTGGGTTGGCTCGCGAGGAGGGACAGGGAGACCCCTTCTCGTAGAGGCCTGCCGATAAGGGGTCAGAGCTGGTTTGAGGTCAGAGCTGCCTGCTGTTGGTGTGGGCAGTGGTGCCCCACAGCTTCAGAAGGACACCATGGGCAAGGCAGGGCAGGGTGAGGCGAGCTCGTGGTCCAATGCCGTGCCAGGAGTTCTTGTTTCCTGTAACTGCCTCCTTTGCAGGTATCGCAACGGTGCCAGGCCTGGCCTTTGCAAAGCAGTGGTGGCTGTCGGCGTGGCTAGAGACCTCCTGTCCTCTTTGACTCCTGCTCCCTTTTCCTCGCACAGCTCAGAAAGTTGCCTGTTCATACTCTTTCCTATGTATGACCAACCTCTTTCTGCTCGGCTGTGACGATGCTGGTTTAACCTGAAACATAGAATACATGCAGGGTATTGTGAAAGTGTTACTGAATGTAAGTGCTTCCAGTGCCAGTGCTGGCTTTAGGAAGGCTCTGTGTGTGTGGATGGGTGTCGGTGTGTGAGATCAAAATGGGGTGAGGTGTTGAGGTCTGTTTTGGGTCCTGATATGAGTTTGTTCTGTGACTCAAGGCAAACAGTTCAGGTTTCCTCAGTCATCATATGAATAATTAGAAGGGATTTTTGAGTCTGCGAAATGTGTTAACTTGCTGGTACTGAGAAAGAATGAAGTCAACTCTGTCTAAAAAGAGAAAATAAGTGTCCTTTAACAGTATAAAGCAGAAATCATAACTCCTATTTTAAATTTCATCTTGAAAACTGATAAAAAGACATGTATGTAGCTTCATTATTGACTTAAGTAGAGGATCTGGATTTCATTCTATCCTGCTAGCAGGTTTATTCTGAATGCTGCATAAATTTGAGCCTATTTCTTTTCAATGGCTTTTTTGAGTGTCTGAGGTTGGTGAGTTAAGCCACCTGTGCATATCAGTTGTGAAGAGTTTTCAAAGATGTGGGACAGTAGACTGTTGATTTACAGCTCCTATGAGAAAACTAGTGAATAAAGTGACAGACCTCTGGTTCACCTTGGCTTATGGAATATAGCAGGTGTGGCAAAGCACAGGCTTGTAAAAAAAAAAAAAAAAAAGGGAGCTAGACTTCATGCAGCTATTCAAATGTTATATGCCAAGTCTGAGTCAAGTTCCTTTTTTTTTCTTCTTAGTTACACACTTAGTTTACAGCTCTGTAAATATGCACATGACCATTTATCACATGGAAAAGGAAATGTCCTTTATAAGTTACCTTATTGTATTGTCCTCAAAATGTTTACTACACAGGGAGAATTTAAGGTATAGGGAATATATAATAGATGTAATCTCTTAGCCTGCTTGATTTAATATCACCTTTAACCGGTTCTATTTGATTCGGGTCTTGTTACCAACGAGACAGAGATAAATTTTAAGCATCAAAGATCTTTTTGCTAACCCAGTTTGGCAACACACTCACTCATGTCCATGTTCAGTCCTCAAAGGTGTGAGTAATCTCTTGTTTACCCCTATGCGTGTGCTTTGAAACCTATTCATGGCAATATGAGCTCAGCCTAATACAATCTGGCCAGTTTGACACATCATGAAGGCAGCATACTTGACCAACTCTGGACTTCTGAAATGTGCTAGCCAACACGTATAACCCATTTAATACAAGTCTTGGCTCCACTTACAGCATATGCCTATAAGAAATGGGTTAGTTATGTGTATACTCACATTAGCAGAAGAAAAACTGGGAATTACCACGATGTTTGCCTTTCATCACCTTAATCTCTTCCTGTATTGTATTTCACCCTCACATTTTCTATTTAGACTGCAGTACTTGTAAGCACTAGACTATACTAAATTTTCCCAAATGCTGTACAGATTTACTGCTGCAGTACAGTTGAGCAGTTGCAGCTTGAAAACCATTATATAAATGTTTGTGCTACTGGAATTTACTGAATGACAGGAAGTAAAGGATAGTCAGCTACAAAATATTCTCAGTGTTTGGCTAAGTTTAATAAAAGACTAAGTTTCCAAGCTGGAAACTCTTATCTTTCTGTTGGTAGTGTAGGGGAAGGAAAAACTGGTGGAAAAAATACAGAAAGTTATTCAGATGAAAAAAAGATGTTGCAGATGAATAGTTCAAGTACTTGTGTTAAGCACTTTCTTAAGAAAAAACTACTTAGCAAAACTGATCACAGAGATCTTTGCTACATGCATAAAATGGAGAAAAATTGGTGGAAAAAATATGGAAAAAATGTTTTTCTTTCAATATTCAATTTCAGCAGTCTTGGCTATAAGCACTGAAAATGTTTTTTAATCAATCATTTACTATCATTTGATGCATCTTTATGTAGTTGAGAAGAAGAAAAAATGAAAATACGGTTCATGAAACTACAAAAAACTAGGTGTTGACTAATAGCTGTTTAAATTTCTTAGACTTTCAGTTTTTAGTGACCATTTAATCTGAAGAACAGGTTGTATATGGAGATTGTAAACAGAAAGGAACTTCAACCACACTGTTTCTCAAACTATCTGTGGAATGATATCCCGAGGGCTGCATGACAGGGCGATACAGAGTATTACGGTGTCAGTGTTCTCTGTTTCAATTACTAGAGCCTCCACTCTATAAAAGCTTGAAGCCTGGTTTCTCCAGCTGGACTTTCTGAGGGTGCTTAGTTTCAGAGGTAAACAAGGATGTTGAAATGATGCCAGATTTTAAAGGCAAACAAAAATATTTTCCTTGGAGCAGTTGCTTTGGTAGAATAAAAAGTCAATATTTCTGAGGCGATCAGGTATTCTAATGGAATTTCTAACCACTAAGCTGGATAGCAAACCAAACAAAGTTTTATAAAAAGACCTTGGAAGACCACAAATAAAGGGCTTTGAAGCATTCAAATCGGTAATAATTGTGTAGGTCCTGCAGTAGGTAATGCAGGCTTTCAAATGTCTATATTGACAAGTGTACTGTGCCTGATATTTTTAACAACTAAAAGCTGTTGATGTAACAGTTGAGTGGCTTGTGCAAAACAATTTTGCATTGTTCGTCCAGTTCCTGGTGGAGAAATGTCTGTCTCATGTAGAGTCAAATTCGCTGGTGAATTGACTTTAAATTTGTGTCTTTTATGCAGTGGCAGTAGCAAAGGAAAATCTGGCTGAAGGTGAATCATCGTTATTACAGTGGGGTCCTGAATTCATGAGCCAGCCCCTTAAGAGCACAGAGCTCAGGTCAGTAAAGCAACAGATGGGTTTCTGGAAACCAGCTTCAGGGATGTTCTAACTCTTTGTAAAAAGGCATGATGATCAAAGTCTTCTATCAAACCAATATATTACTGAATGATTTTTCTGTCTGTTGTATTTCCTTACTACATCTGAAGTAGAATACAGAAACTGCTATAGCTGCATATGTCAACAGTTCATATGAAACTGAACTTAAGCGTGTATTTCAGAAGGTGAACTGATTCCGTATGCAGACATACTGATAAAAGTGCTCGGTGTACCTGCGCAGCCTTTTGTTCTTCATAAGGTAGCAGTTTATAGTAGCATGGTTCAGCCTGTCTTCTTGGGTGACCATCCAAAGCCTGGAGCAGAACAGGACAATACTGAGCAGTCCTGTTCCTCCTTCTAAAACAACTTGTTCCTCGTTTTCAAAACTGTGGGAAGTTGCAGATTCTTGGTCCTCTGAAAGTCAGAGTACTGTTGTTCACAGTCTGTCCATATTATGCAGTTCAGCGAGTGTTAACGCCACTAGCAATAACTGGGTGCAAGAACTTGGGGCTCTCATTCCTGTAGATGCAGAGAGCAGTGCCAGAGTAGCAAAGTGTCCTACACAGAGCCTTCAAAAAGACCTGAATGCTGGATAAAAATCCTGGTCTTTGCTCATGCTATTTAATGCAAGATCAGTAGTGAGTGAAATGTTGCTGTTCATGAACAGCTGAGATGAGCCACTGCTAACCTTTTATATAAAAGCTGAAATTGGAGACGTTACAAAAACATTTTAGGTGGTGTTGATTTCATCCAAGTGTTTAGTGCAGTGCGGAGTGAAAATACAGTGGTATGATTGTATTATAACTCTTCTGTAATATGTCTATAAACAGTAAACAGTCTTTCTCCCAGAGCCCACAGCATAGATCTGATAATGTACTTGGACCGATTCAGCACGTGTTTCAAAGCTTTGGAGAAGTGTGAGCTTTCATGAAATGGGATTTTTGTAAAACAGGCATCTGGAATAGCCGTGAATATTCACGATTCTTTCAGTAATAGCTGTCAAATGCAAACTAAGGGCCCTACCCTATGAGATACTGAGAACCCTTGCTTTCTACTGGCATCTGAAAACATTGCTTACCATTTTTCACTTTTAGGTTCAGCTATTTCCAGGAACACTGAGTGCTTTGTTTTAACCATTCCATTTTCTTGCTTGTCTTATCGCTGGAAAAAGATACTGTAGAGCAAGCAACTGAAGGAACTCAATTTGTTTAGGTTATCAACAAAGATTTATAGGTTCCTTGCTTAGAACATATGAATATCTTCATGGAAAGCAAATAAAACTGAAGGACACTCTTAATTAAAGCAGTAAAATCATAACACTAGGCAACTGGAGATTACATCCTGAGAAATTCCAGTAGAAACAGATTGCTGTTTTTAAACAGCTAGAGCTATTAGCTGTTGAAGCTACGTGTGGAACTGAAGGATTTGGCATTTCTTGAAGTCTCCAGTACTGAATGTTTAGAAGATACACACATTATGGAATCTAATAAAGGGACACTCAAGTATAATTCTTGCTGTATTGGGAGTCTTGTTAGATAAGGTACTCTTGCTTTATGCCTTTAATTATTAATCTGTGAGAAGATGTGAGGTATGCTATTTAGGGGTCTGACATCTTTCTCACTTTTCCTTTTGTTCAACCTTCTCTTCTGCTCTGGAGGCAAGGGATAACAGACTATAGTAATCCAAGAATTTCTTCACAAGCCAGTCTTGTGAAGGCTTGGCTTATTAAAATAAATCAAAGCTGGGCATGGCAATTTATGTTAGGGTTACACGGTGAACAGACATAGCTTCAGTGGTCTAATTTTAACATACTATTTCAAGTCTGTCAGGGCCTTTCCTGTATTTGCTGTCCCTTGGACAAAATCGAGAAGTGAGCCCTGTGTATCTCTGTAGAGTGCACAGTAATTCTGTAGGTTCTAAGTGAGAGTTTTGATGTCTGTGTGTAGGCTCCTAAGTTTAGGTGAATTCCAACCTTGCTGTCTAAAAGACATCTCTTTTACGGAGCCCAGATGACTGAGCTACAGAGACCAATACCTGCAGAATGTGCTTCGTCTCTTTCTAACATAATTCCTCCCACCTATTTTATCACATATTTGAGATATTTGTCACTCTCCATTGACTAGGACGTAGAAGGAATCAATTATTAGCTTAATCTAGATGCTGAAGTTTTAGAAAAGCAAACTTAGTATAACCAAATTTTCTAAGAATAAGACTTGTTGAGATTTTACTGGTTGACAGCATCTTGGTCTTATGTATACCAACTGAAAGTTATGATCAAAATCGTGTTAATTTTGGCATTTCTTGCTTTAAAATAATTAAAGTTAGGATAAAAAAGGAAATTTTGTCATAAAGTAAAAACTAACCTTGAAAATCATGACATTTGTTGTTCATATCCTCTGTCATTATATACATGTTGCTGCTTATGGTTTATATGATCATTTATCAAAGCAAGTAACCAGTGTTCTCAAATCATATGGCTCACATGAGTACAGCTGGTGCATACAATGACGAGAACTAATACAGAAAAGTTTTGCTATTATTAAGCATCACAGTAATTTCACACCTTCTAGATTTGGGACCAGAGGAATTTGGGGAGTTGGTGAAATTAGCGATCTCTCTTTCTCACAGTCGTCCATTCTTGTGGCTGTAGGGCTGGGACTGTTGCTTGGAGGGCTTCAATTTTCAAAGGAGAATGGAGTGCAAAGTGGTGCTGAGATCTTTTCTGCTTTTCTACTCTACAGAGTGCAGAATCTCTTACCTCATACAACCTCCTTTCTCTTTCAGTTCTTTGCTGGAGACATGGAGGAGGGTTTTTCCCTGGGGAACAGGGATGGAGCAGCTCAGGCACAGAGTAGGCCACAAGACTAGTGTCACACAAGTCACAATGTGGGCATCTCAGTGTTTGTCTCATTTGACATCACGTATCTTTTGAGTTGTGTCTCTAAAACTATTTCTGTCTTCTCTGAAGATAAAATGTTCGGGTTATAAACCAGCAGTGGAGTTTATAGAATGTAATTTGAAATCCCTCTGCTTTTCACCTGCATGAGCTTTGAAATGTGATCGAGCTTGCCCTGAGGCTTCATCACTAGACATAGAAGTGAAGTCTGGATCTTTGAGCTGAATGACGCTTTCTTTGCTCTTGGAAGCGAGGCAGAGGAAAGGAGAACTTATATAACTCATTTTTCTGACTGACAAGATCTAGATAAACTATATTTAATTATTTTATAATACTAATACTAATATAATACTAATACTAATTACTATATAATACTATTATAATACTAATACAGAGGATTGATGATAATTTCTTGACCCAGGTGGTGGAGAAGCCAACAAAGACAG